AGAGTGAGATCGACCCTCAGCGAATTTCTTTCCTCACTATAATCAAGCTGATACGCTTGAAACTATCGCGGTGCGCTAAAAATTGTGGCTCGGAGGGTTGCCAACTGACGAGATAAATTGGACACTGCAGTCGGTCCAGTGTGTCTTATTGTGTGACTTAGCTGTCTGCGGGCTGACAGCCAGGCTCAATGGCTCCTTCTTAATGTGGCCATTATGGCGTTCCCTCTCCGTCGGGAGCCTACCTAGCAAGGTAATGTTGTTGTGGTGCATGTTGGAGTGTGTACTCGCACACTACCTTTGCCCTCCTCCATCTTCGGTCTTCCCGACTTTTGTCTTGACATCGGGTTCAGGTGTGGGGGTTGTCAGAAAGTAAGGTACATTTTAGTAACAGTGGTATTTATCGAAAAATACAGAGCACATCCAGAGAGCGCTTTTCAGCCTCATTGGGCGTCATCCGCTGGTGTTAGCTCAACTCCAGTGTAGCAGCGGAAATTGCCGCCACACCCGAGTTTCGAACACGTGTCTCTCCGGTCAGAGGCAAATGCTCTATCCTTTGAGCCGCGGGTCCGCCGTGTTGTCGGTTTGTGATCGGGACTATATAGAAGTAGGTAATTGTACACCGATCTGTTTCAGGATGTACCCATCCTGGTTGATGCCTTGATTTTGCGAGCTAATTGGAACCCCAATGGTATGTGCGCAAGGCGAAATAGTTATATTACTCGCTAACTTTAGTAACAATGGTATTTACCGATAAATATTTTCAGCAAGTCTTCCTTCACTATAATCCCGCGGGCGCCACCACGTCGCTTCATTTAAACAAGCACTGCGTGCTGAACGTTGTAGCTCGGAAGGCTGCCAACTGGTAGGATAACTCAATCCATTCAGAATGGAGAGGCACTGGCTCCTCCTCCTCCTCAATGTGGTCTCTATGCACTCCCAATCATCTGGTCTCCGAACCACCTCTGTCGTTTCTGTTAAATCCTGAATCTGCGTTTATGCTATTCTGAGTACATAAATATATGTGTTAGGCCCGGAGCACAACAGAGTTTGCCTTCATTTCCACCCACTCAGCTCAATCCAGCAGGCAAGCATACTA